TCATTTTTGTTATTGAAAGTGTGACACTTGAAAAGGACATAAGCACGTCTTTGCCAGGAACAGTATGAGCACTTAATTCATTCTTGACATTATCTGAAAGCCGCTACCTCCTCAGCCAGATAAAGCTAATTGGTCCACACTGAAAGCCTCTGAGGTCGGTTCTTTCAAATGTTTTACGGGAAGTGTAAGGTCAGTGGAAACCATCAGAGCCTCTCACGAGTTGGTGCAGGGGAGTGAACGTGACACCAAATGAGCTCAAAACCACTTCCTACATGAATGGAGAGAACTGATTCATACCAGAGTTTGAACAGTCAAACCTGCTTCTATATGGTTTGCCTCCAGACTGATTTGCTGACTTGCTTAAAATCTGTCATAGAAAAGAATAATCTGTGTTTGACCTGAAGCTTTATCTGACTGAAGAGAAGGATGAAAAACAAGGAACAAACTCAACACACTTTACATTTTTCTTTTATTTAATAATTAGTTTCTTTTACATTCCAGATTTAGAAAGGCTCCTTGTTTTAGATAGGTTTAAACATTGTGAAAACATGTTACACTGCATCAGTGTCTTCATTCTTAAAGATACTGTTGAACAATGAAACTTGTCATGACTTTATAAACAGATAATATTTAGAACCATTTAAATTTGAAGCTTTTGGATGATTAATGGGTACATGACGTACACCTCATGTTACTGAAGGTTTGAGTTGGTCTGAAGCTGTGCTATCCCAGCATACACTGCCCCAAGAATCAACTGCAAAACTAGAATCACCTCCTCATGGTTGTCTGCCTCCTCCAATCAGACTACTTTCAGATTAAATCCCTGTTTATCCAGAGTCATAGAATATATGAACCAATTGTGTAAAGATTTTGTCATAATTACTGTGTGAAGTCTTGGGTAATGGCTAAAAAGTGTCTTTTGAGGTCACCGTGACCTTGACCTTTAACCATCAAAATCTAATCAGTTCATCCTTGAGTCCAAGTGAATGTTTGTGCCAAATTTGAGGAAGTTATGTCAAGGTGTTACTGAGATATCGTGTCCATTAGAATGGGAACAATCTGCCTAATATGCATAAAAACAGACACAGAAAATTGAAAAATGTCACTAGTTCTACTTCTGTAACTGTTTAATTCATGAGAGTTTCCAACAATCAATAACAGATAATGGGGTGGGGGGCTGTTGATAACAGGCTGAAGCTATGTGGCAACAAGGGAAACCATGTTCCATCTGTTCCACAAAGCTACATTACATACATTACTACATGTGGGTCATATAATTATAAACGTAAAGATATTACATTCACTTACTAACTGAACTGCTCTAAAAACTTGTTACCACTAGGTGTCTCTGTAGAGCACCACCATGTCATATCAAAGAGTTTGGTTTGGCTACTTGACGGGAAAGTAAGACGGTCATATCATTGTCTACGTCGCCTTTGACGAAATTCCAACATGAAGACCTTATCTCCTGGTGTTTTGCTTCGATGTAAACATAAGTTGTAGATGGTTTCACACCTCTTAACCTGCAGAGGTCTATGTAGTCCATACTGAGCAGCTGATGTGCAGCTGATGAACACATCTGACAAGCTACAATAAAACCTTTCACTGATCTTAATTGATTATTTGCCTGTATGTGTGTGTATCTAAAACAAGTCCTAGTTATTTTTGCTTTGGATCTATATCTGGATGGCAAACTTGCAAGTAAGCTAGACCACGTCTCATGCAAAAAACCTGTAGTGTATTCCTTGACTTAGTTCTGCCTTGATAAACACATCACCTCTGTTGTAAAAAACAGTTCCTATCAGTTAAGAACCAAACCAAACTAAAACTGATTCTGTCCTTCCATGATATGGAGAAAGTAATCCACGCCTTCATCACAACTCCACTAGACTATTGTAATTCTTTGTAATCAGGCCTTCAATAGACTGCATCATCTCGCTTACAATTGGTCCAGAATGAAGCTGCAGGGATGTTGACTGGCACTAAAAAGTGTAAGCACATCACCCCAGTCTTGGCCTCCCTTCACTAGCTTCCTGTCCAAGTCAGAATTCAGTCTGTGATGTCGAGGCCCCACCTCACATCACAGACCTCATTCATTGACTCAGCTCCTGGATCTCTCAGACCTGAAAGCTCATCCCTCTTGCACGTCCCATGATCACGACTGAAACTAAAAAGCGACAGAGCCTTCGCAGCTGCTGCTCCAAAATCATGGAACCATTTTCCATTAGAAATCAGATGAGCTCCCTCCATCTCCATTTTTAAATCTAAGCTAAAAATACATTTTCTAACTAACCTTTTAGTCCATTGTTCTATTCATAATTGTGTATTTGCTCCTTGTTATTTTCTTGATTTTGTTAGTATGTTTATATGTTCTGTATACAGTATATTTACTATGCTTTCCTTGTGTTTTACTTTCTTTTATTTATTTAAGTTGTCCTTTGTGCAGCACTTTGATAAGCTCAAGCTGTGTTTAAACATGCTCAAGAGATAAAGTTGACCTGACTTGACTACACCCACATCAATCTGCATAGCTGTCCTCTCTGGTGACCTGAACTGAAGTTCTGGAGATAGAACTTAGTGAGTTGGCAAAAACCTGCGTGTGCTATGTGGGCCCCAAGGTTCGTCCACTCAACACTGACTCATCAGCAACAGGGTCCATGAGTCCCTGCCTCCTCTCCAACTCCATTCAGCTTACCCCTGAGGTGTGCTGAGGTTGGCCTGGCAACCAACCTAAGCAACTACCAGGACCAGTGTGGTATTGGTAACACTAATCAACTAAATGCGGTGTTCATTGAAAATGGCATCCACCAGCAACATCTGGCTGAAGATGTTCACCTGCCTGAGCACTGAACACTGAACACCACCATGATGGGCCCCTACAGACCGCCTACAGACCGCACAAGCTTCACCCCCTCATCAACAGAGCCTCAGGTTGTTCAATATTTATCAGCTGTATTTATCTAAAGCAGCAAAAACCTGCATGAAAGAAATAAAATACCACATATTATTTTTATTGTGACATGAAGTGCCATGTTAGTAGGGAGGCCCACCCACATGGGAAAATCAAATAGTCAGCTTTTAATTTGGTTTCCTGCCTGTGAATCACAGTGACATTAGGTTGTATTCTCGTTCTGCTGTCATTAGAACATACTGTTTGATCACAGCTACACATCTTGGTTTTTAAATATGAGCCAAAAAAGAAGGATTTAAGTCGCTTTCTTCTTTCTTTATTCTGTTGGCAAAACAAAAAATGAAAGGGGTGATTTTTTTCATTCCCCGTTATCTCCGTAGTGGTGAAATCAAACGGTTTAAATGTGCAGGGACCCGTCACTCATGCAGTAGAGGCTTTAAGCTGTCATATAAATCTGGCGCCATGGGCAAGGTCTCTGAAGACAGCTGACAGTGAGCTAAACCCACTCTGAGCGGAGGCACTTCACATCCTGATGCAGATGTCTGTCGACTTTCAACCCTTTGATAAAGAGGGTTGGCCAACAGATCTCCTGGAGCGGGGTCACAGTACGGTGGCCCTGAGAGCGCACCGCACTGCAGCTTAAACACATGCAAACAGACAGAACACAAACAACTTCAGAAAACACCTTCATCAGTTTGACAACACGTGTGCTGCAAATACTCACAACATAACCAAACACACAAACGGCTGGTAGATTGCGTACCATGAAGGCGCAGTCATAACTGCAGTGGCCCAGGTTCGAGTCCAACCTGTGGCCTCTGTCACTATTGGAATTAAGTCAAAAAATAACTTTGAAAAACCTGATGAACCTGCTGAGACACAATTGTTCTTCACTGCTTTGTTAGTTTTGGAGTTAAAAGCATTGAACAACAAGTGTGTCCCAGCAGGTTCATCACTTTTTAGTGTCTAATGTTTAGTGTTTTTAGTGAGTATTTGCAGCACAGGTGTCGTCAAACTGATGAAGATGTTTTGTCTGTTTGCATGTGTTTTCTTAAGATGCAGTGCGTTGAGCTCTAAGGGCCACCGTAGTACAGGGCTCCACAGATACACACTTCCTGTCAAAGTCAATGGAACATACTCAAACCATTGTTTACCACTGTGTTAAAAGCTTTGTATTCCTTCAGCACAAATCATTCTTTTATGCCCTTGTCTGTGAGGACCATCTGTGTGTAGCCCCAAATATACGACCCTGAAGGCCATACACACCAACTTGGGAACAGTTGGTGTGTGTGCAGACACACCCCGACATCCCACCCTCTGGTGGAGACTGCTTCTGGGTGAACACCAGGATTTCACCTCCTCTATCAAAGATAAAAGGTTTTGCTTTTTTTCAAATGTCTCGACACATTCCTGTGATCCTGTGTATGAAAAGAGAACTGCACTGATTTAGTGTCGTTAAACTCCTATAACACTGTTAAACTCACTCACAAAACTGATGCAACAGAACAAGAAAATTCTTTTTTTACTCCACATATTCTTCTTCTTTGGCAAAACCCAGTGTCTGGCATTTGAGATGTGTTATGCTTGTGGTAGCTAAGACAGCCTTGAGCTTGTAGCCTCAAACAGAGATGAGGAGTGGGCTACAGAGACACATCCCCGGATTTTTTTCAGCTGCAACCTGCTTTAACATGTCGCATACATCAGCCGTTTTTATTCCACAGCATCTCAAACACACCTTTTCAACATGATGGCTGTATCTGACCTTGTGATGACAAAAAACCTTTTCAGAATCTGGAAACTGCTTCTGATTCTGATCTGAACAGAGTGAATGTTATTTTGTCTCAGCAGACCTCTGTGGTCATGATTCATTCAGACAGTGCAGCTCAGGTAGCTCGCCTTGACCAACTCCAGCAACCAATCAGAAACCAAGACAAGAAACACAAGAGTATTTTATATTATCTGATTAGTTGTTAATAGTTTTGTACTCTTAAGCTGCGTGTGCGTGTGTGTGTGTGTGTGTATATGTGTGTGTGTGTGTGTGTGTGTGTGTGTGTGTGTGTGTGTGTGTGTGTGTGTGTGTTAAGAGTCCCTAGTGGCGGTCAATGGCGGCGCTCTGTCGCAGGTCCGTCTGGGTCTGTGTTGGGGGTCTGAAGGCTGTCTGGAAGCCTGGTGGTGGAGAGTGGAACTGGCTGGTGGGGGTTGGGTAGTGCGCCCAGACGGCTCTGTAGGGGGGGCGCTGGCTCCCTAAAGGGCCTTTCTGTGAAGCTGAGCTGGATGGGGCGTCCATTTCTGTGAGCGTCTGCAAGGACTTGAGCCAGTGTGGAGGATTGTCGTCTTGAAGAGAGTCCAGACTGTTGCTGCTGGAGGCTGAGATCCCTGCAGAGGAGACAAGCTTCACTCATATACAGCTTTCTACAGTGAAATCGTTTTAAGATACCAATAAATAAATAAGATTCTATTTTCAGGCCGCCGACTGGGATGTTTTGGGATTTACAAGATTAAAAAAAAAAATCAGTAATGTATAGCAATTACATTTTGATAATGGCAAAAATCATAATCAAGATTATTTTAATCAATATTGAGATCATGACTATTTAACACGATTACTCATTGACTTTGGAAACACCACGCATTTATTGAACTTTAAATAAAACCTTTGTCTTTTTAACAGTGGACATCCTTCAACTTAAAATACAATTGAATGGAAAGAAATATAAAAATACATTAAAAAAGTTAGATAAAAAAAATCAATTATATTTTATATCTAAATATATAGAATTAAATAGATAATATAAAAATTAACAAAAATGAATTAGATTAAAATATCTTCCACAACCCACTGAAAACTACTAAACATATATTCAGTATATAAAAATAATAAATAAAAATAAATTAGACTAAAATAAATGAGATCAAATATGTTGTAGTGCACTGCACCAACATCCTGAAAACTCCAAAACAGTTTGGTAAAATATATTTAACATATTCCACTCAGTAACTCAGTCCAAGGAAATTAAAGGCTGGACCGACTCTGAACTGACAAACTGCTCAAGATGACGCACTCTAACGTACGTTACTAATGTACACTGAAGCTTAACCAGGAAGTGGATGGGGGAGGGTGGCTTTTGTAAGGGAGGATGAAATTTGTTGCGAATCAGAATGCGGGACAATAATGGTTTTATCTCGATCATCTTGTTTTCATAATTGTTGGGAAGCCAAAATCCTAATTGAGAATAAAATTTTATTAATTGCCCATTACATCCACAAAGGGTGTGTGGCATTAAAAGACTTCACCATTGATTTATGATTTATCATTTAATTCTTATAACACTGAAACTCGATGGACAGTTTGATGAAGAGGATCAAAATCTATGAATGTGTCTATATTCATGTGAATGAATTAGGTAACTTTCCAAAAGGCCAAAAATGAGCCATCTGGCTGTAGTCTGGTCAATGTGCTCTCTGTAGCCAGCCTCTGTACTTGCTTTCTTCTAGTTATTAATTGAATTTGATTTTTTTTTTTTTTTTGTGTGCATGTGTGTGTGTGTGCGTGTGCGTGTATATGTATATGGGTGCAGGGGATCAGAGGTACCATGTAAAAAATAATCCTATGAAGAGGTATAATGGTGTAAAACACAGCTCTAGCTCAACTCTGCTGAACAGGATATGGAAAATGTACGTGTCGTATTGATTTGTTGATTCACTGTCATATTATTTTGCAGATATAATGTCATGTTTCTGTTATGATGTGATTTACCATGTTGCACGAGCATTGTGAAAGTTTTATGCATAAAACTTAACTAAACTTAACAAAGTGTAACTGCAATGCTTTCTTATTGGCTAAATTGCAAATACACTGTATTCACTGGTTTAGCAATAATAAATAGCAGATAAAATATTGTGAATTTTCTAAGGATCAAAATTCTCTGTTTTTCACTGCAAGTGAATCTTTCACATTTACACATAGTGATTTTTACATTAATAGAAAAACACAATTAGTGGAGCTTCAACTGGGAGAGTGACAGATATTTGATTCAAAATGATGTATCCTAGTTGTAGCTCCTGGTTTTGAACATTAATAATCAAAAGATTTTTTTTTTTTAATTAGGTAATGACACAAAAGATTTTGAACCAATTATTTTACATGACATTTGGGATTTTAATCAATTTTTATAATGGAATGGCACGTCCTCTGTTTTCTGTGCCTACAGGTAACTCATCCTTGTACAGGGAAATTTAAATTTACCATGTCCCCTTGGAATGTATCTAATCTTTTGGATATGTATCAGTAGAGACTGACGAGTACTGAAATTCAGGTGTACACTTTGTGTGGAAAATGGTTCTTAAATGTTTCCCCCCCTCTCCACCTGGTATTAATCTGTGATCTGAATCTGGATAAAGACATCTTCAGTGTTAGTATTTCTGTTTTTAATGTGACAGTGAGGTGTTTTCTCTTTAAGATAACTCCCTGGATTTTTTTAAAAGCTCATTATCTTTGCAGGACCTCTGAGCAGGACCTTTCCCCTACCTGTGATGATGGCCGGGTCCATCCAGCTGGCTGTGCCGTCCCAACGGAGGCTGTGAGAAACACTCCCAGAAATCCCTGGTGCCCCTGTGTGGTTGACGCCGGATGAGGAGGAGGATGATGATGACGACGAGGAGGAAGACGAGGAGTTGGGCAGACCTCCAAAATTGATGTTGATGTTGGGTAACAGCGCTCTGAGGCCGTCCTGCCACTCCTTCACATTTATACTCTCTACGCAACTGCTGTTTTCTGCATGAAGACAGGGACAGAGGACAGGGTTGACTCACATTGTTGTAGTGCCCTATTTACAGCTATAGTATAGAATATGAACCGGAATGACTTCAGGATTCATTTTGTGCACTTTGTGCCTATTGAAGCAAATGACAGCAGCATGACTGTGACAGAGACTGTAAGGATGCACAGCCCATGTAAAAATCAAGTGCCCTTCTTTTTGTTGCAAAGGAATCTAGGCTCGTGGTCCATAAATAAAGTAATAAATAAAGGATACTTCAAAGGAAATGTTTTTTTCCATTTTTTTTTTTAACATCGTATTCATTTTTTTCTTCAGTCACTGTATACACTGTTGTTAGCGGTACTACTATACCTCAGCCATGCCCCCAGCACGGCCCACCTGGACCAACCGTCCAATGTTGCAGGACTTTGTTTCTCAGAGTGTTTTTCTGAATCTGCTATTTTCAGCTGATCTCTATTAAGGACTCAGAAGAACTGGAGCACTTTAGTCTGAATTTGACTGTTCGGCGCTGCCTGACATCACCATTTACATTTACCTGAGATTTAACAAGATATAGCAGTAGGCTTCCATCCGTCACCTGTGGTCGGCCTGACCGTGTGTCACCCAGAAAACAGAGGCTCAGAGCCTCCTCTCTACTGATTGGCTCAATGACCTGTTGTTACCAGAGCTCCAGAGAGAAGCCTGAGAGAGGAGATGTAAAACTACATTGAGATGCTTTTTGGTTCTTAAAACCACAAATATATCTTCTTATGGATCAACACTTCAAAACACAGGAGAAGAGAGCTTTAATAGAAGTTTAGCTTGTGAATTTATGCATTTCATACCTACGGTCATTAAGTCCTGTGGTTGTGTCTGCATTGCTTTCACACCACAAACAAACCGCACCAGAATTTGACTGACAGCTTTCACACCAGCCTGAACAAACAGAATCAAACGGACAAACGCACCGGCGGATTCTTCAAACAAACCAAACAGCTGAGGTGTGAAACAGCCCTTCAATGCAAATGTAAAACCTGACGTCATGCAGACTATTTCAGTGCTGGCAGACAACTCTAGAGCTAGTGGTGAAAATGAACAGTGGGCTGCTGGTGTGTGAGAACGGCCTCCTCATTTCACAATCTGACAACACAGCGAGAGGAAATTAGACAAGGAAAGAATTAGCAGCTGAAATGTTAAACTCTAAAGCTTTGAAGTTGGGGACATGGAGCCACGTTACTTTGTCACAAAGGGAAAGACTGGTAGATTTAGAGCAGAGAGAAAAGTTTCACCGTTCACGCCACACCTTACAGACTTTTTCCATACATTAACCATAAAATTCCGAAATGCTGAATGTTGCCTAAACACAGGGAGCTGCACAATACATCTGACTACAGCTCCAAAATTAAATCATGAATCAGTGAAAAATCATTTGATTTCATAAAATGTTCAAAGACTTTATACTGTGAACATTAGATCTTCCACGCTGGATTTCTGTGCCTGTGGTCTGATCTGAGATCTGACTTAAAGTTCCTTCAGACTTGTTTTAAACTATGTAAAAATCCTCTGCTATGATTCATATTTAAATTAGCGTGGTTTCCCCATACACAAACTGGATCTGAAGCTCATCTCCTCTTACTTCCTGCTTGAGAAATCTGGATCAGGCATTGAGCCCCGCCCTCCACCTGCTTGCTCCAGGTGGACAGGTGAAAGAGCAGAGAGTATCAAGATGGTTAGAGGAGGAAACATGTTTGAGCCTCAGTCAGACCCAGACTCAGATGAGGAGTCTGTTGAGACCAGAATCAGAGACTCGCAGACATATCAGAACGGTTAGCATAGTTAGCATCTTTTATTTGTTTAAGTTGTTTGCTAGCTTGTAACTGGCAGTGGCTGACACAGTGTTAGTGGTTGTGCTAATGCTAACTCTCTCCCTCTCTCTCTGTACTGACAAGGTTTCAGGTTTATTTAGCCCCGCCTCCCGTCCCCACAAGTTGACAGGATTGGTTCCTTAGGTTTATGACGTATGAAACCCTGGCTGTCTGAGTGTTTCCACCTTGAACTGCAGTGCACCAATGACAGTCTCATAAAAACGGATTCAGCCATGGTGTTGATGATTATTTCACTCATCACATGTCTTGTATTATATAAAAACATCATGTGGATGGTAACAAGGTTAAAAACTTGATTTTCATCTGAGGGGGTCTTTAAGTCCAGGGGAGGACAGGAGTGGGCTAATTATTCATCTGCCATGTTTTGTCCTGCAGCCCAGAAGCAGTACCGCTGTACTGTGGTTGGGAGCTGGAATCATTTAGAGTTCTGTCTAATGAGACACAGCAGACGGCAGGCGTCACGACGAACACAGCCTTTCCAGTTACCATGGTTCTATGAATAATAATACTAACGAGACAAGATGATCGTTAGTTGACTAACTCATTAGCTCCCACAGCTATAGCTTGCTACGAGATTGTTGAATAGAAGAGACAATGAAAATGCTATGAAGCATTATTTATTACAACGTCTTGAGATGTTTAAGTTTAAATAAGATACTACTAATTACATTCAGTGGAGGAAAGTAACTAAGTACATTTACTCAAGTATTGTACTTAAGTACAATTTTGAGATACTTGTTATTTCCATTTTATGCTACTTTATACTTCCACTCGAAAACATTTCATTGTTCTACTCCCCCACCTTTATCTGACAGCTTTAATCACTAGTAATTTTTCAGATGAATATTAAGCTTTAAAAATACAACACATTCTAGATCAGTGGTTTCCAACCTTTGGCTTGTGACATCTTACAAAAAAGCAGTGTGTGGTCTGGGTCACAGCTCCACAAAGTAATTATTTTTCCCTCTAAACTTCTCACATGGTTTCATTTCAATAAATGTTGAAATGATCCAACATCTCACCAAAAATCAAAGATTAGAGAAAAACTCCAAAAGCTGAAAACAGATTTATGAATCAGAACTTTTTTTTTTTTTTTTCTTCTTTCCTCTCCCATTATCTATCTGACGACCCTTCAGATTTATCTGGTGACCTTGTATATAACTGTATATAACTGTGTAAAGTACTGCACACTGGCTCCATCTCCAGCAGCTACAACAGTAAAATGGTGCTGACACACTGATGCTTCAGTGCTTCATCCAATGATGTCATCTATAATACAACAATCAGAGGGAACAATCAATAGTTTTATTTTCATGCTTTAACTAATATTAATACTAATACTTATTGAAGCAGGATATTTCCTTTAGACTACTTGTAATGGAGTATTTTTACTCTTACTGTATTTGTACTTTTACTTTTTTTTTTAAAGAAAGGGTCTAAATACTTCTTCTACCACTGATTATATTAAGCTTTTCAATTAAATACTGCCAAGCAGTAACCCCCAGAACATCAGTGATTAAGAAGAAACAATCCTCCCTCAGTATTCCCCTGTGATCCTTGCTTAGCCCTCACCATGCCCCTTTTTCATTTTAATCAGGCTGTCAGGCAGGGAAGCATGACTGGCATTAACATCATCACCTATGTTGCCATTTGCATCCCCAGATAAACAAGCACTGCCATGTTTAATTCATGAGAACGAGATCTGCCTTCAGAATCTGTTTTAATCAAGTTATCCAGTGCCACTCCTTCACAGGGATGAATTATTTACCACTGAATTAGCTGATATCTTCTATGACTGTTATCAGAAGAAGGTTGTCTGCCAATGTAGCCTCATGCTCTTCAAAGAGTTTCATGTAACAATCATTACCTTATATTTAGACATTGCTAAAGTCTGATACATAATGAGATCAGAAATGGTGGACAGCTCCAGCCTGAGATAGAAGCTGCTGCTTAATTTGAGTATCCTATGCGAACAGCCCTGTCCGCTTCATTTAGACTTCAGCTAACTAGCTTACGACCTACAGCAGTAAATCTTCGTTGCTTCTGAGGAGCAAAGGAGCATGACAAGCCCTGTTCAAGGCTGGCACATCACATTTACTACTGTAGTATTCCCCATCTGTGTGGCTGCCAGTCCTGGATGCTACTGTGAATTAGGCTGACATCAACAGTTCTGTCTTGCTCTTTATTGGATTTGGGGAAGTTAACACTCCAGTAACCACAGATTAGCTTGTTACAGATATACTCAGTGGTTCGTCCTCATCCTCAAAGTCAATTATACTATTTAAAAGTAGCATAAAGCTAACCTCTGTGTTGATTGTACAAGTATGAAGTAATTGTCTATTGCTCCAAACAGGGAACAAAACAGCTGTAAACTTACATTCTGATAACTAATACAGTACTATGAACATTAAATTATATAAAATTACCATTTATCTTCAGTCACGTAGCATGACACATGGTTTTAGTTTTGTACAAACTTTCAGAGCTAACATTAATTAGCTAACTAGCTGCAGCTAATAAAATCTGCTAGCAAAAGCTGGTATTTTATACAAAATGACCATTTGGTTTAGTCATGTAGTAGTTTTCCAGAAGATTATTGTACAAACTGCCAGAGTTAAGATTAATTAGCTATCTGGCTACAGCTTATAGAAAAAGCTGGTATTTAAACCTGCAAAACCACAGTCGGTCGCTTATGCTTATCTGCTAATGTTAACATTGTAAACTGCACAGTGGGAACTGCAGGACCATGTTACATAATATATTCTACATATATATTATAGGCTCTGAGCCTCTCCTCTGACTGGCTGACTGTTTTCTGAGTGATCGAATGAAAATATTGCAGATTTCATGAAAACACTGAGAGAAACCAAATCCTACAAGGCTGAATGGTAGGTCAGGTAGGGCGGGGCTTGGGGCATGGCTGAGGCTGGTGACTGATTTGTTGTGACATCACAAAGTTCCAGAAGTCCTGACAACTTGTTTTAAGGCTCAGTTTCTGAATACAGTCTGTGTGCTTTTCTCTGTTGACTGAGCGCTTTGATTACTTCACAGTATTAATATAGAACCTAGACCTGCTTTATAATCAAACAACACATGGACATCTACCTTTATATCATGTTGGACCTTTAAAGAAAAGACGCATAACAGTAACTAATAGGCTACCAGTTCTAAGTCATCTAATAATGAAAAATTATAAGGAGATATCATAGATATGTATATTCTTATAGGACAGTTTGCCTCTGCCTGCCTCCATTAGAGTTGTAGGTTTAGTCCATGAATCTAAGACCATACCACTTTTTTAGATATTAGTACTAGAAATACATATCATCATGATGACTTAGGGAGCAGAGAGACCTGAAATCTATTTGTAAGGTGCAGAGAGCTGCTCTTATCACTGCTGCAAAGCTCCTTCTCTTTTCTTATCTCAAACAAGAACAAGATTTGTGTTGGCATTTACAGCAGGTGTTGAGTGACACTTCAGTATAAACCAGTACAGACTGGGTCTGTGTTTGGTGATGCTCAGAAACAGACTGGAACCATAGCTGTGTTGCAATGATGCTACAGTAAATGAGTGTGCTGCCACCAAGTGGTCAATAAATGAACAATTGTTTACCCACAATGCAGCACACTACAATGATGTCATGTTCTGCAGAAGCAGTCCCTTTCAAGAATAAATACTTCATACATCACAATCATTTTTGCATTTGATTTGATTTTGACTGAAAAAAATATAAAAATGATGTTATTTTTTGTTGGGGCTTGTACCAAACAAACATCTTCCTTTATATCTGGAGAAAATTATTTGGAGACTTGCTGCATCTCTGTAGCACCACATTTATGGTTTGTTGCGATACATTTTACCTTTATCAAAAAAAATGCAGCTCCTGTGATTTGGATATTGCACGTATCCAAATTGCGACTTTGATAATACTTCAATTAACTGTTCAGCTTTAACTTAAATCTTACAAAGACATGTATGTAAACCATTTACAGATATATAGTAGGCTAGATAATCTGACAAGATGAACTAACCAATCACATACAGTAATTTTACACAACCTATGTTAGCGCTGCATCATGCATGTGCTGTGCAACATTGCACATGCAGCAATTGTTTTGTAAATGGACGATGAACATTGAACATCATCATCATCGAAAACATGGAATTCATTGTTTAACTGAAACTCCTTTTAATTTACCTCGCAGGTGAGGAAATTATTTATTTCTGGTGATGTTCACCAATTGGGAAGAAGCAATATCTCTCAAAAATAGCCTTGACATTGCTAATTTTCAAGAAATTAATTGATCAATAATCCTTAGATTTGAATGGATGCAGTAACACTGAGTAATGGGACATGAATAAATCTGTGCATTATCTGAGGAGCTGGAGCAGTGATCAACTGTTGGTTTATCATCACTGTTTCGAAGCTTAGGTTGGCAGGATGTCAGTTTAGTCATCACGGAACATCTCTCCTCCTGCATAATGTCCGATTGTCTCACCCTACATTCCACCTCCTGGCAGCCGCTAACAGATGAATAACATCTGGATCAGCAGAGATCTGATTTCCTAACTTAAGAAAGATGACAGACGGCCTTTACTCCCAGTTCTAAAAGTAGTTCCAAATATGCGTCACTCACACACGTGCTGTGATAGCTGATAACAGCTCAGTGGTGTGTGTTCTCCTACTTGCACTGGCATGCATCACTGGGCTGGGTGTTGCAAACACAGATGTGGGTGTGTTATGAATATTACATGTGAACAAAATGACACAGTTTCCCTCCCTTCAAAGCGTTCTGGGAGTCTGACAATGTCATAAATCCAAAATAGTTTTCCTTGTTTTAACATTTCAACCCCAACTGCAACCCAGAAAAACGGTAAAATGATGCCGTGATGAACAAACAAATTAGGGCAATTAATGTAATTTATTTTCCATTATGATTTTGGCTTTCAACGATTATGAAAACAAGATGATCGAGATAAAACCATTATTGTGCCGCATTCTGTTTCTCAACAAATTTCATTCCCCCTACAATAACCATACCTCCATCCACTTCCCTGGTTATGTTTCGGCGTATGTTAGCAACGTGCGTAGGAATGCGTCATCTTGAGCAGTTTGCTGGTTCAGAGACTTTCTATATAAAGTCAGGAGAGACCGTGTCCTGTTTGGCTGCTGTCCCACACTTAATTTCTATCTTGTATATCCAGAAAACCACATTGACGCACTTTTTTTATTTTATGTTTTTTCTTTTTAGTGCTTGATATTAGCTTTACCATCAACAAGCTGCCACCAGGATTGATGTGTTGTAGTTGATCTTATTTATTTTGACCTAAATTATGTTTAATAATTTTTATATTATATATTTAATTGTATATTATAAATATTACATTTTATGTATTATTCTATTTATTCATATCATTTTTAAAATGTATTTGTTTTTCCATTGAAATGTATTTAAAGTTCAAAAAAGTCTACTGAGTCTACTAAGTTCGTGATGTTTCCAAAGTCAATGAGTCATCGTGTTAAATAATCGTGATCTCAATTTTGATCAAAAATAATCATGATTATGATTTTTGCCATAATCGAGCAGCCCGAAAACAAATGACACTAAACAGCAACTTAGACCTGTAATTCACATTAGAACAGACAGACACCACTATATGTAGACAGGCCACACCCCCTCTCCCTGATCCAGTCTTACCTGTGATGGGGATTCCTCCCAGCCCAGAACTGTGATGTCCCGGCAGCAGTGTAAAGTCCAAGAAGCTGCTGTTTGAGGCTGTTGGACTGACTGTGTGGTTCAAATGAACAAAGTTACTGCGAGAGGAGGTGGAGCCCGTCCAGGACTGACGGAACGCTGAGGAGGAGGGGGAGGAGAAGACCGTGGAGGAGCAGGAGGATGAGGACGGTGATGATGAGGATGATGATGAAGAATTAAGGTGAGTGGGGAAGCCGTAGCCTCCCCTGTGAGGGTGCTGATTCTGGGAGAAATGGTGAGAGTGAGGGAGGTGGTGGGAGGGTGGGGGCCCTCCTGGGGGTCCGAGGCCTTTATTTAGCAGATGTTTGTGGTTTCTGTGGGGGAGGAAGCTGGGGGGCGTCAGGGAGGAGCTGAAGCTGTCCTCAACACAGAGCTCCTTCTCTATGAGGTCAGCCAGACCCCTGCGAGTGACGTCGAAGGGGTCAAAGCCCAGATCGTCCTCCTGCTGCTGCTGCTTGGATGAGCCGAAGCCGAAAGCTGCCTGCCAGTCTGTAGATGATGACACCGGGATGGTATCTTTACACACACACACACACACACACACACACACACACACACACAGGTTCCTCAAGCAGCTTGCCTACACTGCAGCTACCAACACCTCTGTTTTTATTATGCAATTTTTAAGCAGTGTTTGATGTTTATTTTTAGCTTTAACTTGGCAATTAGTACGATATTGAAATAGAAGTGATACCTCTACTTACATCTGATCTCAGAACAGCCCTGTTTGTTTTCATCATATTATTTACTGCCCTCTTGTGATGGCAGCAGGGTGTTATCTCTGAAGCTAGCTTGACTTCCAGCTGTTGTATCTATGGTGTCATTTTTGTGGGTGTGACCGTGTCCAGTTGACAAAGGAGAGGACAGCATCTTAAATCACATTGAGGATAATCCTGTGATCTTTGACTGCTGATAACGCTATAGCCAAAGTGTGCTTGTCAGAATGGCCTTGACTCTTCTACTGTTCTGAGATCAGTTATGATATTGCAGCATTATGGTGTGGAAACTAAACTTGCGCATTAAACGTTAAAGACGCAGCAATATCAAGTAAGTAAGCAAATTACACTGATCTATCATCTCTGTGTGAGATCTACTGTAGGTTTGAGACAGAATGTTGTTACAGGAGTAGAGCCGCTCATTTCAGGAATAGATCAGTACGTAGGTTGTGTGCGTAGCGAGAGAGAAGGAGAGAGAGAGAGAGAGAGAGAGAGAGAGAGAGAGAGAGAGAGATTGGTGATGCTGGCGACCGGAGAAGAGAGTGAGCTGCTAAGTTAGAACATAGCAGTGTAGCTGTGAATGTAGCAGTAAATGTTTGTGCACTTGAGGCTGTTTGTCAGTAAATAAATGCTACGACTCCTAAGGACCCAAGTCCCTGCCTCTTCCCTGTGTCTCCAGTCCAGACTATGAGCCAGGAAAGATTAACAACATTGAGGCAGGCAAATGCATGATTCTACATTGTCACTGGAGTGTGTCATTCTCAGATAATGGAAAATATTTTGCTTAGCTCTGACTTGCCTATCTGTAAACATCTGTATCTGTGGAACACGTCACAGGTGTTATAAAGTCCCTATATTGGTTACCTGTCAGCTTCAGTATTGATTTTAATATTCTTCTATTTGTTTTTAAAGCACTTCACGGTCTTGCAGCGGCAGATACGCCTCACATGCTGACACTCACGAACCAGTACGACTCCTCAGGTCCTCTGAGTCTGTTAGTTGTTTCAAAGTGCAGGATTCAAACCTTTGGCGAGGCAGCTTTTAGCTTTTATGCTCCGAGCTGATGGAACAGTCTGAGAGCAGCTGCAGGTTTTGAAACCTTTAAACCTAAACTCAAAACCTTCCTCTTCAGCCTGACTGTTAATTAAATATGGTTTTTAGTCATTAGTCACTTCATTTTATTCACTTGTTTTATTGTATCTACGTTGTGAATTGTATTTTATTGTACTTTATCTGTTGTTTTATTATTACGTTTATTTGCTTGCTAATGTTATCATAGCTTTTTCAATCTATTTTATTGCATCTCATTATCAGCTTTCTTACTTGATTTTTCCTTTTTCTTTTTAGCTCATCAGTTGCCTTTCAACTCACTTTCAACTGCACTAACCTGTATGAAAAGTGCTATACAAATAAAATTTGACTGATTGATTGTAAAAGTCTCCGCACACCACTGATTCATTTGGAGTCGTGTTTGTGTTCACCTGCTAAATGTAAGTTCAACATTCCCTCTCTTTTTGCTCTCTACCCATTTCTGAGGGAAATACTGTATCTGCCTCTGTAGCTGCTAAATGCTCCAACATCTTCACCAGCTGCTCTCTGTGTCTGTCTGCTGTTAATTCTCTGTAGGTTCATCACTAAGTTAGCTCCTTTCACATTGTAACTGTTTTCAAATCAGTGTTTCATTGCCATTGTAAAACAATCCATTATTTCTGTTTTAAAGAACAACTGGAGACTTAAAGAACCAGCACACCCTGCTATCAGCGGGCAGACCCACCTGAGGTGAAGAGGCTCTGTGGTTCTGGTGCAGTGGGCCAGTCGGAGTTGCTGTGTGGGGAACTGGGGAAACTGCACAGTCCACTGGGGAGAGGGTTTGGATGTCTGAAGTTACTGTTGTCTGAGAACAGAGACTGGGACTCTGCAGCAGCCACCTCAAAAAGGGAGTGAGCTGTGTGGCCTGTGACACTGACAGGAACCACCAGGCTGGGCTTGCTGAGGCCAGGAGGGGGCGACGGGAAGTCACCGCCCGGGAGCTGCAGCACACGAGAGAGTACAGTCTCTTATTTTATTTATGAAGTACATACATTAAATCCTGATATTCAAGTGTTTTTCAATCGGTTTCATGTGTTAGATCAAATGTCCAACAACCGAGTCTCAGGCCACCGTCACTCACACATTTAATAATGTCTAGAGTCCATTTCTTACCAGTTGTGAGGTTTCACCGTTGCCTATACTGATCATTTCTGGCAGTTTGTCGCTGGGGCTGAAAAAGAAAAGTAGGAAAAAAAAGTAGTTAGACTCAGTCACCAGAAGACTGAGGAGTGTTTTAACCCTATCTGATAATGTCACTACCAACACAGAGTAAAGGTGAACTGTTACAAAGTCCCAAATAAGCACACAAACCACAAATAAAGCCCATTTGCTAATGTGAAGAAACTAGAATCACCGCCTCATGGTTGATTCCTCCACCAACCAGTCAAGTGTCAGGAAATATGGTCACAGTTTCTCCTTCCTGAGTTACAGTGTTAAATAATGACCTGAAGTGTTTCTGCAGAACATGATGATGACACAGTGAAGTTGACCTTTGACCCTTTGAATATAAAATGTCATTGCTTAATTTGATCCTTATAGACATTTGAGTTAAACTGTGTCACAGTCATTTCATCATTGAGTTCTAGAGAATGTTTGTGCCAAATGTGAAGAAGTTCTGTCGAGGCGTTACTGAGATATTGCGTCCATGAGAATGTGACAGACAGACAGACAACCTGAAAACAACATGGCGGTTGTCTGCGCGGAGGCATTTAAAAAAAAAAAATAAAATCATTGAGGTAAAATAGATTCAGCATAATGTATTTCCACAGAACTAATTCCATCAGTAAAACATCATGTCATGTCATATTCACCACTCTGCTGAGAACAGTTTCTTCCCCCATGCGAGTGTGGAGTAAAACATCCACTTACCTATTCATTCTGTATTTAAACTCACATTGTATAATAACCTTCATATATCATCTGTCACTTGTTAAATATAAATACAGGCAGGCTGTATATACTGCACACAGACATGCATACATGCACCCACTGCACATAACCACCTACTGTATGTATATAAAGAAACTTACACTACCCACTTAATATTTATTTCAGCACTGCCTTTACTCTCCCACGCATTTCACCACCTGTTTCCTACTGGTTGACTTGATATGGATATACTAGATATTGTGTGTTGTGTGTTTTCCTCTCCCTCTGAATTGTGTATAATATAGTCATATATTTATGTTTATTTATCTTTATCTCAGCTTTGTTGTCCTTGTGTTGCTGCATATCCATGTATTTCTCCCTGGACACTTGTTACTGATACTGTGTACTGTGTGAGAGTCAAATTCCGTGTATGCACAAACATACTTGGCCAATAAAGGCTGATTCTGATTCTATACATGACGTCAAGACTTTTAAAAATAGATGACTGACCTACTTGGTTAATGCAGCCTTTGTATCAAAAGAGAATGATGAATAATCTACCTTGTGCAGAGTTGTCAAGTTAGTTAGTTTACCTAGCAACGTCACAGTCTGAAGAGAAAGGAGAGAGGTCCGGTATGGGGCCAAGGCTGAGGTCAGGTTTGGGGCCCTCAGGGGAGGAGTGTTCAGAGTCAGAGCCATCTAACGGGGGACTCTTCCTGTGGTCTGACGACAGGCCGTTGGTGGTTTTCCCTGACGGCTGTAGACTATGACACCACACAGACAGAAAGCAAAGAGAGGTCGCTCAACAATGTAAAGCTGTGCTTACATATCTTCATTTACACTGAGTAAAGTGAAGGAGAGAGGAGCATGTCAAAAGACTAGTGAGACACACAGATACATATACACAAAGACAGACTGATGCTGTTTGAATACATGTGTAACGAGTTGGCTTTGCCCTTTGGTTTGTCCCCTGACACAGCTGAGGTCTGTAGAAAGGTCGGGTTGATTTTGTAGAGGTCTTGTAGTTTCTGCTCGTACTCTTGATGCTTTCCTGCCTGGAAGCAAAAGGACAGATCAGAGAGAGCATCACACAAAAATGTCAAATACCAACAGATAGTTTGTTATGTTGGAACTTCAGCCAAACTAAGGCAAAATACAAGTGGTGTATAAGTTAAACACTGGGCTTGAACCTGTGGCTGGTTTTGCTGCCGTTGTTTAAACACTTATTGTATTAACTGCATGTCTTAGCTAAACAGTAAGCAGTAAATATTTGTATATTGATAGATGTGAATGTGAGTGTTGCAGGAACATTAGACCCCTGCAGATGGGACATTCTGAGCCTCAGTTCTGTCAAGAAGTGTAATGTAAAAAGAAAAAGCTCTGATTCATGGATTTAGTCATTCCTGTTGCCCCCCTGCTCTTTAGATTTTTCCAGCAGGGTTCCCATTATGCTTTGGGTGATGTATTATACCGCCATGGAGACAGTGAATTCACCACAACCCATTTTTGCACCATGGAAAATGGCACTGGATTGGCTGCTTGCAGTTCCTGTTTACACTGTTGCCATGGCTGTACAAATAACTGTCACCTGCATTACTTCCACTGAAGAAAATCAATCTCAATCTGCTGATTATGAGGCAAGTTCAGAGTGTCTGATTATTCTTCAATGAGCGATTATCCAAAATGGACATTTGACATCACTGGATTCTGTGAGCTCAGGTTTGACTGAGTTAAGTTTAGTTCATTCTCCGCCTCCACTGACCTGCATCTCCTCTTTTGTAAAACTAGCAGCTTCATCCCCCAGCTCGTGTAAATACATGCAGTCTGGTTTGGGGCACTGCATGCTCTTTAAAAAGTAACTGCAGTATTTTGTAGTTCCTAAAGAAGCCTGAAAAACACAAAACATATTTTACAGTTAACCAACAACCAGCCGATGAACCTTGTATAAACTCTCTCTATACTTTAATCCTTGGAGCTCACTTTCAGTGTTCTGCCATCCACCACCACATTGTTGACACACTGGATTGCTCTGAGAGCATCTTCAGACCTTATATATGTGACATAGGCACTGGCACTGGGTCCCTGAGGAAAAGTCAGACAACAGAGACAAGGCTGACATTAAAAACCAGCTTCATCAGTGTGGCCCCCCCCTGACAGAGGCCCCCTGCTGACGCTGAGGATGGCCTCACCTGTGAACCGGCGTACGACGTGCTGTTGTTGATCACCACTTTGTGAATCTTGCCAAACTTCCCAAAATATTCTGGCCTCTTTAAAACCTGTGAAACGCAGAGAGCAAATATTTAAATGTAATAATCATTTATCATCATCATGGTTATTGCATTAATGATCATTTTTTAAATTTCATTTTGTGTAATTGCAGAAGGCCAGGGAGACGTCTAAATGTTACTACAGGGAGCCTCGCACAGACTTTTAGCTGCACGTAGTTAATACTGATGCAGATGATCTGAAAATTCACTTTAAGTGCCAGTGTGGAGAGACAACCAACATGTTGCGTCATCCAAACCACTTACACTCTGACTAGGTCATGTTTCTTTCACCTCAGAAATACTGCCAAGGTAGATCTGTGGTGTCACAACATGAAATGGAGATGTTAATACAAGCTTTTATCTCATCATGATTAGATTATTGTAATTCACAAATCCTCCCTACAGTGCCTACAAACTGTGGAAATGCTGTTGCCAGGCTTTCAACAAAATCAAACAGATGGTCACACATAACACTTATTTTAACCTCCCTGCACTGGCTTCTCCTTAATTTCAGAATCCATTTTAAGATAACTTTTAGAGCCCTACATGGCCACAGAATACATCACAGATCTCCTTCACCCTCACACCACGAGCCGAGCTCTTAAGTCTTCCACCCTTGGTTTTCTAAACATACCACAAACACGCTTTAAGATCCAGGGCGATGGCGCCTTTCAGTCAACAGCTCTGAAGCTCTGGAGTATTCTCCCACTAAATCTGAGATCCCTTGACTCTGTGGACTCTTTTAAAAAGTAACTGGAAACCATCTGTTCACAAAGGCTTTTAAGTAGCATTTGGTATTTTATGCTTTTAACCAGTGTCCTATATCTGTTTTTCCTCTTGTACATTTCATCTTGTGTTTATACTTTTGCTTTTAATTGATATATTTTGAGTTTAATTCTTTTTCATTTCTTTTAATTGTGAAGCACTCTGTGACTAGTCTCTGCGAAAAGTGCTATACAAATAAACTTTGCTTGCAAAACCCCAACAAGGAAAAAACACTTCCATCTCTTATTGTTTCTCTTCATACAAAGCTGAATAAGGTCACAGTGGTTGTTCAAACCATTTCGCTGTTGTTATTATGCTGCTCAGCCTCTGTGACTCTCTATGAGACTGCAGCTCATAGATGGAGGTTTGGAGTTCAGCCATCTTGGGATAGATTTTCTGTGACAGGGTTTTGTTGCCTTCTACAATCCCTTGGTAGTAAGGTTAGCAGAATTCTCCACAAATGCGTATCTGTGGGAGCATTGTTTTTACTCAAAACTAGAATCACCGACTCGTGGTCGTTTCCTCCATCAACCTGCCAAGTGTCAGGAAGGAGACTGTGACTGTATTTCCTGAGTTAAAGTGTTGAATAATGACCAGAAGTGTTTTTGCAAAACATTATGGTGTCACACTGAAGTTGACCTTTGAACTTTTTGACATGAAATGTCATCACCTCACATCCTCATTTTATCCTTATCATTATTATAATATTTATCCATTTTGTATTTTACATTAATTTATTTATGCATGTCTGTATTTATTTAATCAATTATTCATTTCTACATTTATTCATGTATTTATTTCTGTATTTCTACATTTATTTTTATTTTCATTTAGCTAGATGGGTGTGTGGTATTTCCCCCCAATGCCTAATTTCATCAGACAGATAGACAGATTACATTGCAACATACACTGTGAATACGTGTGTGTGTGTGTGTGTGTGTGTGTGTGTGTGTGTGTGTGTGTGTGTGTGTCTCACCTCAGGGTCAGCCAGCCTCTGAGATAGCCCGACTACAAACACCAGGTTTCTCTGCACCACGCGGACGCTGGCCAGATGTTTCCTGTTCTCTGTGATCTTCTGCTTCTTCTCGTTCTGTTTCTGCTTCTTCTCGTTCTTTATCCTCTGCAGCTCCTCGTGTGACAGAGGCTTGTACACTGCAGGGTCTTCTGGGTATGGCTGCACAACACACACACACATCAGTTAAGGAAAACATCCCCAATCTAATGTTCTACCTGTCAGGTATCATACAAGCTATGGTGTTCAGTGTGAGTCAGCTCTTTGATGAGTAACAGATAATGTAAGAGATAATCAGTTAAATGAAACGGCAAAAAGTCAAGAGGAGGGGTCCAAGTGACTGTAGGAGTCTGAGGGGAAAGAAAAAGTGAGTGTGGTTCCTCTTTGGGTGCTAGCTTAAAACGATATTAGCTCACACACAATTTCTTGACTGTGAATGAAAAAAAGCAATCAGAGAAACATTTTGTGTGTACATATGAACAGACATGTAAATGATGACAAAAACAATTAACAGTTATAGAGATACAGAAATTAAAAGAATATGATGTGTATGGTATGTGTCTATATTATGTGTGTGTGTGTGTGTGTGTGTGTGTGTTTTCAAGGTTAATATGTGATGTAGTCCTATGTATCTGTCTTTTGTGAGAGGGTGAAAAGGAAAGTATAGTGGACATTAATGGTGTAAAATAAATATAATCATAAGGAGAATGTAATAAAAATAAAATTATGAAAAAAATTGTATCCTGTCAATGTAATAAAATAAAAAATGAAACAAAATATAATAAATAAATAAATAAATAAATCATACATAAAAAAATGCTAATATATTATAAAACGTAATATACTATAATATAAAATGCGTAGAATAGCGTAGAATAATATGATAATAGTGTGGTGGTGTTATGACAGAATTGTATGTTTTATTTTTATAATAATTATAAACATGTGATATTATAATAATATAATAAACATTATTATATAATGTAAGAATTATAATTTAACAATGTGACGTTACATAGCGATGGGTGTTAATTCCCCCCAGTGTGAAGATTTACCACCTTTCTGTTTCGTGTCAGTGCAGCAGCTTTTACTTTGTGGAGCTCTGCAAATTTATGATTAGCATTTTATAGATTAAGTGTTTGACGATTTTATAAAAAAGGAATTATTTAATAAAAAAAGTGAAGATTCAACAAGTATTAATTGAATTAACATGATTCCTCACATAAAGTTCTATAGTTCTGTAAAAATACACTAAATAGAAGATTTAATTCTTGATTCTTTTGTGCATGCTGGTCACCTTACAATGGTGTATTGGTCTAACATAACTAAATCAGAAGTGAGCATTAAGGTTTGCATAACTGAGGTGACCGAATCTCTTTCAGTTGGACTAGTATTAGTTATTATGAGTCTGAGCAGGCTTCAGAGGAGACTGGGGTCTACCTTTCTGCAGGCGGGACAGAGACCGTTCTCGTCCGTCCTGATTCGATGCCAGCAGAAGCGGCAGATCTGGTATCCACAGGTGCAGGGGAAGAAGTTGACGTCATCGATCTCCAGCGGTTCCATACACAGCGGGCACTCCATCGGGTCGTCCTTCACCTCGGGGCTTCGGAGCATTCTATGATTCCACTCTAACTGGACTGGACAGCTTTCACAGGAGAGGGACGGGAGGAGCCGCAGACACTGGAGCAGAGATAAACAGGAGCTTAGCTACATGCTAAATTCAACAGCACTGTATTGAACAATCACTATTGTAGAGTGATTTTGTAATGATGGAAATGTAAAACAAATAAAATACACATTGATTTATTACATGACTTTTACTGTAACTGTATTTTTACTGTGCAGTAGTTCACCAGCAGCCCCCACATCACTAACCCCCCACCTGCTGTGAGTGACCTGAACCTGAATGTCTGAAGAGTTCAGATGATGCTCTGTCCATTTCACATAGAATTTAAGAACACACCCAGAACAGTCAGCTAGCTAATGGTTACTTTTCATCATCAACCTATGTCGGTAAAATTCAGTTAACTCTGTGTGTGGGCTCCAGGCTGCAGCGTAGAAAACACACCTGCACCAACAACGGATGAACTACGACCTAGTCGGTCAAATACTGCATTTCTCCGTCTGTTTGTGACGGACTTTGACTGGATGTTTCCAGAGATCGCTCGTGTTTCTGCTCGAAAACACTGAACCATACTTTGAACGTTTAGTTCTCTCTGCCATTGTGTTTTTGTGTGTGCTGCACGGTGCTCCAGCATGAGACAAAGCTGACCACGCCCCTTATACACACAGGCTCAGAGAGAGAGAGTGAGAGAGAGAGAGAGAGAGAGAGAGAGAGGGGGAGAGAGAGATAGAGAGACATTGGACCTTATCTATACTACACTAAGGCCGTTTAATACCAGGTTTCAGTACCATCCCTACAATACAACACAAACTACAGTTGAAAGTTGGAACATATTGACAACAGACACTGCAGTTACTTCCTGGGACAGGTGAAATTGTTTACCAAGGCTGCTGTATGATTAAAGCCTCTCTGTGGTCTAGAGGATTTATTGTAAAGAAAAAAAAAACAACAACATTTATTTGTAACTAAACAAATGATCGGTGGGCCGGTCGGACTTGATTGACGGGCCGGAGTTGGCCAGAGGGCCGCCAGTTGAATCGGCCTGGTCTAGTTGTTTGTGGACATTTTAATGTGGAAAAGTTACACATTATGACTTTAACTTGAATACACACTAACACACATGGATCAGGCTAGAATTAGGTTGAGGATAGGCATTTAGTTGTGAGGGTTAAAATTAGGGTTAGGGGCAAAGGGATGCATTGTCAAATAGTGTCCTCACAACTACAGTAACACCAACATGTTTGTTCCTGTATTTCTGTGTGTGTGTGTGTATGTGTGTGTGTGTGTGTGTGTGTGTGTGTGTGTGTGTGTGTGTCTGTCTTGACATTCCAGTGTCTTGACATTCCAGAATCTACATTATGACACATTATATGACACATAGTCATATTTAGAGTTAAGTCTCACTCAGAAGACACACACTCCCACTCAGAGACAGAAACCAGTAGACTACACATCTGTGAGGGAGAGAAGCAGTCTACAGTCATGGACCACCCTGAGACAACTACCGTATCTGAGGTTCCACTAGAGGAAAACATCCCAGAACATGGAGAGGAGTGTGAGGTCAACCAGAAACCACAAACGAGAGCTGTATCTGAGGAGACATGAGAGGGAGTCTTTCCAGAGCAAAGAAAGGACTCTGAGGTCAACCAGAAACCAGAAGAAAGTTCCAGATCTGAGCCTTCAGCTTCCAGTGAGGCACAGTGTGAGGACCAAGCCTTGATGAAATGTCAGGCTGTCCAGAGCCACAGCCAGGAGGAGTGGGTGACCCACACCCAAAGGCCTGGTAAAACAGACCATGGCGGGTCTCACCAGTACAGAAGCGTTTCTCCAGACGTCAAGTATGTCAAGAGAGTCTTCAAGGCTGTGAGGAAGGACCCGTCAGTGCCTGCTGGAGTCACTGGTTGTTCTCCAGGACACAGTGGTCGACGCAGTATGAAGGTATTTTTGGTGCAAAACAACTGAGCCCCTGTGAAAGTGGAATTAGTAGTTGTATAAAATAGTCACAGAAAAGATGCTCTAGGAGTTACGCTGTTGTAGATTTTTTTTCTCTCCCACAAACACAGCAGTTACACCTTTTCAAATCCTCCATTGCAGGTGCACAAATCCTGTTTAACAAATCACAAATTAAGAAACTCATACTCTCACATTTTTGCTACAGTTGCTGCAGTGAATGTGGTGCAAAACACATTCACACACCCGTATCAATAATGTGAAGTCATGGACACTCTACAAATCAGAGTGTGAATTTATGCAATGAGAGTTGCACATCTGTAAAATATTTTTTTTCTTGGATATTTTTTAATTGCACAAACACAAGTCAATAACTAGAACTGCTTGAATCTCTTGAATCTCAAATGGCAAGTTTTGAATGCTCTGACTTTTGCACCAAATGTCTCTGTGAAATGTGCAAAGATGTGAGAGTATGAGTTTCTTAATTTGTGATTTGTAAAACAGAATTTGTGCACCTGCAATGAAGGATCTGAAAAGGTGTAACTGTTATGTTGTGTGTGTGCAACTCCTGGAGCATCTTTTCTCTGTGAGCTCAGATTTACTGATACACATGTGTGACTATTTTAAACAACTACTAATTCCACTGTCACAGGTGCTCAGTTGTTTTGCACTAAAAATACCTTCATGATAACGCAGCCATCGTCCGTCCAGTCTCACCAGATTCACCTGAAGGAGCTCCTGACTCGTCTGGCACAGAAGGATTCCTCCCAGACGCTGTGGACAGACGAGCCGATGGTCTTGGCTTTCATGGCAGGACTCTTCCTCTCTCCCCTACCTCCCTTCTTTTCTCCTCTCTCCCCTACCCTCCCTCACTTCCACCTTTCTCTACCTTACACTCCTTCCCTTTCTCCTCTCCGCCATAACTATCCCTTTCTTCTCTCTCCCCTACCTCCCTCCCTCCCTGCCTCTCTCCCCTACCCTTACTCCCTTTGACCTCTCTCCCTTACCCTCCCTTTTCTCCTCTCTCCCCTACACTCCCTCACTTTCTCCTCTCTTTACCTGACACTCCCTCAATTTCTTCTCTCTCCCTTACCTCCCTACCTTTCTCCTCTCTACACTGCCCGTACTTCCTTTCTCTTCTGTCTCTTCTCTCCCCTACCTCCCTCCCTTTCTCCACTACCCCTACCCCCGTTTTCTCTCCTAACCTCCCTCCCTTTCTCGCCTCTCCCCTACCTTCCTTTCTCCTATCTCCCCTTCCCTCCCTCCCTCCCTCCCTTCTCCTCTGTCCCCTACCCTCCCTCCCTTTATCTTCTCTACCCCTCCTCCTACCTTTCTCCTCTCTATGCTAGCCGTCCTTGCTTTCTCCTCTACTTTAACCTCCCTTTGTCCTCTCTCCCCTACCCTCCCTTTTCTCCTCTCTCCTTCTAACCCTTTCTACTCTGTCCCCTACACTCCCTCATTCTCTAGTCTCTCTACCTGACACTCCCTCACTTTCTCCTCTCACCCCTCGATCCATGCCTTTTTCCTCTCTATTCTCTCCCATACCCCTCCCTCTCTCCTCTATCCCCTACCCACCTTTTCTCCCCTACCCTCCCTTTCTCCTCTCTCGCCTACGCTCCCTCCCTTTCTCCTCTCTCCCCTACCTTTCCTCCTTTTCTTGTCTGTCCCCTACTCTCTCCTTTTTCGCCTCTCTACCTGACCCTCCCTCCTTCCTTTATCTCCTACTCTCCCTCAATTTCTCCTCTCTCACTTTCTCCTCTCTACCGGACACTCCCTCCTTTCTCTCCTCTCTCCCTTTCTCCTCACCCTCCCTCATTTTCTCCTCTCTACTTCCAACCCTTTCTCCTCTCTCCCCTGCTTCTCCTTCATTTCTCCTCTCTGCATCCAACCGTGTCTCCTCTCTCCCCTACACTCCCTCACTTTCTCGTCTCTCTACCTAACTTTCCCTCCCTTTCTCCTCTCACCCCTTCGCTTCCTGCCTTCCTCTTTTCTCTCCTCTCTCCCCCACCTATGCTCCCTCAATTTTACCTTTCTGCCCAACCCTCCCTCGCTTACTCCTCTTTCCCCTACCCTCCCTCCCTCCCTCTCCTCTACCCTACCCCTTACTTTTCTCCTCTCTACACTACCCATCCTTGCTTTCTCCTCTACTTTAACCTCCCGTTGTCCTCTCTCCCCTACCCTCCCTCACTTTTTCCTCTCTCTACCTGACACTCCTTCCCTTTCTTCTCTCTCCTCACTCCCTTTCACCTCTCTATAGTACCCCTCCTCCTTTTCTCCTCTCTCCCCTACTCTCCCTCACTTTCTCCTCTCTCCCCTACTCTCCCTCACTGTGTCTTTTTACCTGACACTCCCTCCCTTTCTTCTCTCTCCCCTACCCCCGCTTTCCCCTCTACCCTCCCTCCCTTTCTTCTCTCTCCCCTACCCTTCTTCCCTTTCTGTCTCCCCTTCCCTCCCTCAGTGTCTCATTTCACCTCTTGCTCCCTTCATTTTTCCTCTCTCCGCTACCTCCTCCCTTTCTTCTCTCTCCCCTACCTCCTCCCTTACCTTCCCTTCTCTACTCCTCTCTCCCCCAGCCTCGCTTTTCTCCTCTCTCCCTCTCCTTCATTTCTCCTCACTCCATCCAATTGTGTCTTCTCTCTCTCTCTCTCCTACACTCCCTCACTTTCTTCTCTCTACCTGGCACTCCCCCTCCCTTTCTCTTCTCTCCCCCACCCCCCTACTTTTCTCCTATCTACACTTCCCATCCTTCCTTTCTCCTCTCACATACTCTCCCTCACTTTCAGCTCTCATCCCTACACTCCCTGCCTTTCTCCTCTCTCCCCTACCCTCCCTTCTTTTTTCCTCTCTACTTCCAACCCTTTCTACTCTCTCCTCCACCCTCCCTAAGTTTTTCCTCTCTACCTGACACTCCCTCCCTTTCTCTTCTCTCCCCTACCCCCTACCTTTCTCCTATCTACACTGCCCGTCCTTCCTTTCTCCTCTATCCCCTACCTTAACTAGCTTTCTACCCTCCCCTCTCCCCTACGTCTCTACTCTATTT